AAAGTTGGTAAGGCAGGTTCCGTGTAGGTAACTTATCTAGCATAACAACAAGCGGAGCCGCAGCTTTTCCAAAAGCTGCCTCATACGGTTCGTTTGGTCGTGGCGATTTACCTTGATAGATATCAAAGTTTACAAGGTAGCTGTTTTCAGAGTTCAGGCACCACACTTTGTAACCAAATCGAATTGGCTTTCCTCTAATGAACTGTTTGCGGTTATGTCGACCAAAGTATTTTATCATGGATTCATCATAGTTCATATGTTCTGTTGGCCTGTAATATTTTAAAAAGGATTCCTGTAACCTAGTGATAATAGGACGTAGCTTCCACATTTTATCCTGGGGATCCATTTTGGTATTATCAGCGCAGTGCACAAACCGCATTATTTGAATAAATCTGTCCCGACGCATCGCTTCTTTTATCATGCCATTGGACATGTCTTCTCCAGAATCCCAATAAAATCTTTTTCCTGGAAGAATATTGTAACCAGAAACGATAAGTATGGCCAGAAAACATCTAAGTTCTTCCATAGTAACCTGTGGATCTGGACAGGTCGAAAATAAGGCGTACTTTTTTGTTTCCTCCAAAATGTACAGCATCATACCTTCATCAAAGAATAATTCGAACAAACCGGCTGGGCTCATATCACGAAATTCAGAGAAGTCCGGTGCAGGAAAATGAGACGATTTTGTCATATCTCCATCTAACCATGTCCTCTTGTCATATTTTCTCCCCTTTAACGTTCTCAGTAGCTCTTCATGCGCTTCGATGCCTAACTCTGATAGAGGTTGCGAGTCATCAACAACGTCTTCTTCCTCCAGATCTGCTCCAGTCGGTTGGTCAACTCCACGGACGTGGATCTCAGCATCTGATAACAGTTGTCTTCCTGAAAGATCATCTATAAGTCCACCATCATCTTCGTCTGCCGAGTCCTCATCAGTTAGCACATTTGGTTCTGATGGGCTTATATATATGTCGGGTACTTCATCCTCATCGTCATTGAAGATCATATCAAGCGCCTGTTGCAGCGAAAAGCCCTTTCTAAAAACAAGAATTTATGCTAACGTATTGACCTAGTGTGACCATTCGGTAACAAGCAGATTTAGCCATGGACAGTGCGAAAATGTATAGGTTATGTTGAGTGACGCATATGTTATGCTATTTGCTATGATTTCATTTATTAATACCATCACTTAAATATGAAACAGATTCTACAGTAAAAATTGTAATGATTACTTACGCCCACCTCGGCTCCATTATTTTGAAAAGATAATTGTCTTAAACTTTGAAACACGTTGTCTGTTTGAATATTTGTGCGAACGGGTTGAGGCTAACAGAACGTCTAACGCGCTCCATCTATATGCGGTTGATTCAAGTAAGCACCGAAAAGAGTACAGAGATTTGCTTAAAACGACCTTCGAAATAGCGTCTGTTGATGTGACCAAATGGTCACGCCAGGTTTTGATGGGTTAAGACGGCGAATTTACGAAAAACTCAGAGAAATTGATCTGAATTCCTCATAATAGTCATTCGAAGAAAGTTGCGTCTGGTAGAGTAGAATGGACTACGCCACATAAGTCGATAGTGCAGTTTAGGCCCGTATCGTCAGTCGTCCCCACAAATTGTAGGGCGCGTTTATGGCCTCCCTGATTGTCATACTCCTTTCTCTCCTCCAAAAATTCCTAGATTACACTTGTCCCGTGTCAGCGTCAGCGCTCTCCTATTGTAAAGATATGTTTTCTTTTTAAATTGTAGGAAAATTCAGGTTGATAAAACATGATATAACTCAAAAGCAAGCACAATTTGATGCAAATAGATGTTTGTGACATAACCTCAAAATAGAGCGCTGACACGGAGAAGTAAAAAACTATGACAATCAAGGAGGCCATAAAGACGCCCTACAATTGTAGGGACGACTGACGATACGGGCCTTAGTGAGGTATTGTGTTGTTAACTAGTTAGTATTTAAATAAATTTATTCGTTAAAGAAATCCGATAAATATTTTGTGCCAAAACAGGACATACGTCGGTGTATGAATTTCGACGAGCCAAAATAAATGCTTTCCTGGCAAAGATCCCCTATCTAATGAGCAGACAACTTGGAACTGAGCGGGTCTTGTCAGCTTAGATACAGATGCTTATCCAATCACAACTTGTGAATCAAATTGAGGTTGAACCCACTGAGGAAGGTTAGCGGTATGTGTAGGTTACCCCTGTTGTATTATGTAAAAAACATACGCCGACAAGATGTTTACCCACATGATGCACTGAATTGGAATCCGTAGGCCAAATCTCTAAATTGGCTTTAGTTTTCGAGATATCACAACCAAAAAGTTCAAAATAGCGATGTTTGGCTATATTTGCGGCAATGTATCATGGCGAATTCTTTCTGATTTCTCAAAAAAAAAAACATGGACTCATGAGAAGTACAAGCATTGACCTTTCAAATGCCGTTGAGTTAGCTTAAGTATCTTATTTTTTTTAGACATGTTACTGTGAAATTTTAATTTATCAGAATTTCTCTATATGTATTTGATACTATACACATCATGATTACGTGTGAAAGAAAGTTGCGGTTTGGATTATAATTAACCAAAAAATTAATAACAAACTAATATTTTTATGAAAATAAGACGTGTCAACTGAAAAACTCATAAATCCCCAACATTAAGACCGTAAAATATCTAACACATACCCAAACACAAGTCCACAACCCCCACACTATCAAGATCGAGTTTAATTGCATACTTTTTTCATTATAAAAATTAAGCTACAAATGTAGGGTATTAAATACAGTGAAGTTCGGAAAAATTAAAATGTCAAAGTACCATATACGAGGGTGATCTGAATAGCTTCAGACCTCAACGTGAAGATGGCAGCACTAATAAGCTAACGACTTTCGTTGTTCATCTATTGACAGTTACTCACCAATGTTTCAGCCACTTTGGACTCGCAGTTGTTATGTAACAGTCGTTGGAATGAGTTGATGTGAGTGTTTTTGTGAACATGGACAAAATCGAGTATCGAGCTGTCATTGTATCTTTGTTTTTGAAAGGCAATACGTCTACGCAACTCAAAGATGAGTTGGATTCTGTGTATGGGGACTCTGCACCATCATTTACCACAGTGAAATTTTGAGCAGCTAAATTTAAACGTGGCCGTAAGAGCTTGGGAGATGAACGTTCAGGACGTCCAAAAAATGCAACTACCGACAAAAGTCACCAAATGGTGCTAGACTGCGCAATAAATCCTAGTTTTGGGGACGATTAATTACTGTAGATGAAACTTGGATACACCATCATACGCCTGAAACAAAAATACAGTCCAAACAGTGGACTGCAAAGGGGGAACCGGCTCCAAAAAAGTAGAAACTGTTTTTTTCGGCTGGGAAAGTAATGGCTACTGTTTTTTGGGGATAGTCATGGAGTTATTTAAATCGATTATCTTCAAAAAGGAAAAACCATTGCAGGAGCATACTAAGAATCATTACTTGAAAACCTGAATGCAGAGCTTGCAGAAAAACGGCCACATTTGCAGACCCTCTCACACCTCAGCGGTTGCCATTGCGAAAGTCCACCAATTACTGTTTGAACTAAACGATTTCTTTTTGTTCCCCCAAAATTGCGTTCGGATGATAAAGATTTTCGTCAAATGAAGACCTTGGTGAACAATTATTTTGCATATAAAAACGGCGAGTACTATTTGGACGAGTTACAGAGATGGGGGCATCGCTGGGGGATATAGAGAAATATTGAAAAATAAAACAAACATTTCAGAAAAAATGTATCTTTGTTAGGTCGGAAACTTTTTAGACCACCCTTGTATCAGACAAAGGAAAATGGCATTGGAAATCGCTAGGCTTGTCCTTTGAGATGATGTCTATGGTTTTCTGAACAAACAAAATATAATTCGTCATGCTAAATAATCTCAAACATAGACAAAATCAGTTTTTTGTACATTTAGGTTCGAAGTTGAGTCATTTATTTTAACAGTGAGTAGATCTGATCAAAAGAAATGTTTTTTTCCTTTAACATTTTTGTGGTAAAATTAAAGTAACAAGTTATAGCCCTTTAGAAGTTTGAGTACCGCCCTGTCTCAATAAAAATATTATGTGCTCGTGTTTGGCAACACCGGATATAATCCGCCTTATCGGTTCATCGCATCGGAAACAAGAAAGCGAATGTTTTTACTACAATTTTATTCAGCTGTATTCAGCCAATGTGTCAGTCGGTAACGCGTGAGTGAATAGTGGTGTTTGCTTGGCTCAAACGAAATAAAAAATGGCACATGTTTACGAAAATGCTGAACTTGTGGATATGATTCTTATTTACGGGGAGGGAGTCTTTACAAAATGCTGCCGCGGCATCACGAATTTATGCGGATCGGTTTCACAATCGAGTGCAACCAACCCACAGGTCCGCACTGAAGGAGGATACTTTATAAAACAAGGTAACATTTTTTTTATTTATACACACATATTTTGGTTTATCTTCCTTCTACAATCATTATCTGAAAATTAATGACTCAACTTCAAAGTATAGGAAACTGAAGCCAACTGAAATTTTCAGATTCGGCGGATCACCTTCGAAAAGTATAGACTGGTTTTTGAGTGAGTCGACTCACTTTGACGGCCCGTGAAATGTACCTGAGGTGCTCCTATTTTTGGTTAAAAATGGAAAGACGCATTTGAATAAATTAAATAACCCTTATTAAAATAATCTAGGAAGACACTGCACATTTATGATTACAAACTTTTGCTCTTTTATTTTATTTTTTCAACTTACCCAACTGCAGGTAATGGTGAGTTGCCATGTTTAACTTGTTGACCCGGTTCTAATGCTCTGAAAACAAAATTCAGAATGATAGAAACACAAAGTAAATCCCAAATTGATTCGGGTTATTTTGCGTTAATCCCTTCTTTCAATTTTCTGTACAAAAATATGGAATTGGAGATGGGATAGAGGTAAAACTGAAGATTCAAAATTTCATTTTATAAACATTTATTCGTGGAATGGAAATATTTTGACAAGGCATTTTCACACATTAGAAAAATATAACGTTATAATGCAACATTATAGTGTAAACAACTTTTGAATATATAACGAAACAAAACCAGAAGTGCAAGGCTACCATAGGATGTATATTTACTTTGTGTAAATATATTTGAAAAAATCTACAGGCACTTCCAAACTCAAGATATTAGCTTACTAAATTTTCAATTCTTAGGTCTGTAAACTCAGGCCGTAGCTACCAAAATTGCACTATTCTACCACAGAAAATTTATTTAACGCATAAATGCAAGAAATCCTAAGGTTGGAAGAACCACTCAATATTTCTTAGATATGTATCAACAAAAGTTGAGGACTATATTACAAATGTTTGTGTTTTTAGTACCATTCTTAAATTACATTTTATAAATGCTTTTTGAAAAATAATCTATTCAAATAAAACAAAATGTATTGATTTGGTCTTGACGCATCAAACAGTCAGTTAGTCATATTATAATGAATACTGAGTAAATTATTGGGGATACTAACTGACCAAATGACGAGTAAAACTAAATATTATAGAAGACAATGTGAGATGATATAATTATCCTATTTGGAACTCTTTAACGAGATATTTGGACAAAACAGTACCTATAGGACAAAGAAAATAAAATAAGTTCTCTCTTTTTTCCATACAATACAACACAGTGTCATAACAATAACTACCAAACAAAGCTGATTATGTTTCATGCACATGCTTGAATGATATCTGTTTCAGTTTTGAGATATGGGATTACCTTTTTTTAAATAATCTGCAGAAACTTAGAACATCATAGGAATTTTCTATTCATTATTAATTCTCGTAGCATGTATTGCTAAAAAAACATTAAAATGTGTATTGTTCACGATCTTTGAGCTTAATACAAAAATGTTATCGTTTAAAACATGAAATAAAAATATCTATCAAGAAACAGCTTCTCGAAAACAAACAAAAAATCAATGAAAAAAATATGAAAAGAGAGCAAGCTTATTTGGTTCTTCTCTGCCCATTCATTTAACAATGATACATTCAAATCCTAGACTTATAAATTAATTTAAAGAGTCAATTGACAATATCACTAAACGTACGAGGTAATCACAAAAAAATCACTTCTTGTCTTCATCAAACTCAGCAAGGTATATAGTTATATAGAATTTTCCCAATAACATTCTGAATTATCTTGTATATTTATCACTTGAAAGGCAGATACGATGCAAGAAGCATTTCAATTGATTTGCTTTTTGAAATATAAAGGGTGTTTCAGAAAAACGTGGCAATATTTCTAGGACGTAACGTAGATAAAAAAAATAACACAAAAAGTTCAGATAAGCATGGGTCCAAAAATGTCCCTTTACAGAGATTGAGAGTGTTAAAATTATAATTCTGAAATTGAAATAAAAATATATCATCGGAATAGGTTGAGATATTAACTCAAAGTTTGGTACGTGTAGTGCTGACATCATAGACAACACGTTGAAATATTTTTGTGCCTAGACTATTCCAGTAGCGATAAAATTATATCCGCTACAGGGGAAAAAAGAAAATGATTTTCTAGGCCAACATTTTTTAAACGTCTATCGAATTTTTGAATAAGGTATACAATTTCAGATGATTCGCCTTTCTTGAGAAATTTCCATGCTACTCTTTTTGGAGAAAAATATTCGAGGTAGAATCGGTATAAGCCTGCTCTACTTTGAAAACACGCTAAAGTTAATGAAATTTGACAGCGGAAATTGTATGCAGTCTTTCAAGTGACTGATCCTAGCACGCCATAGCTTTATTGGAACAATAATCTTGTTGTGTCCTTATTCAGTCTCATCCATGGCGTAGAAATATACAACATCCTGTATGTTGTATGGTAATGGCGCAATTTAGGACCTATACTTTGTTATTTTTGGGTATATTTTCTACCCTAGAAATAATGCACATTTTTCAGAAACACCCTGTACACGTGCTTGAACATTGACCTTGTATCTTTTTACGTGTTCTTTGCCAGATGTTCATTCGACTTTCCAACACCAATCCAACATTGTTCAAGTAAGATATTAGATGAACTACAAGAAAATTGAAATTAAACATCCATGCTTGTCTGGCCGCTAAATGAAACCACATATGCTTGAAAAACTGTTTATTCACGACGTTTCGGCCACCACGGTAACGTTTTTCAAGCACAAATGACAATTCTGATGACAATATGTTTTGTTTACCTATCTTAAGGTTGCAGCACAATTGCCCGGGAACGGAAACCAGAACGTAAATGGAAACGCCAGAAAACATCAATTGCATATTATCCATACATACGAGTACACGTACAACAAACGGAAACGGGAACGGTAACGGAAACGACATCGGAAGAGTTGGCCAAGATTCAACGTTTCCATTCGTTGTCTTCTGGGAGCCAACTAGAATTCTCATAATGCGCAATAAAGCCCGCCAAAAGTATTAACCTAAATTTCTAAATGAGAAACTCAACTGTGGCAGCAGAAACTCGCCCTGACCGCAAAATTTGGCATTACGGACATGCCGTCTGGGAGGGGCTCAGAGACTTCTTGTCTACCTTTCCTTGGAGAGATGTTTGATTCGCTGACGCGGATGCGTCGGCTGTCTGTTCTTCGATAACCGAAATTATCCACGTCGGAATGGAGGAATACATCCCTCATACAGTGAAAGTGTCTAAATCAGGGTCCAACGGCTGGTTCAACAAATCGCCGGCATAAGATCAAGGCGCATAGAACTTTCTTACAAAACCCCACTGTAGAGAACAGACGAGCCGACGTCGAGTCCAAACACAAATATAACGAAGCGGTTCGCAATGCCAAACGCTGGCCAAGCAAATTGGAAAGAACTTCTCACAGTAGCCTTCCACTACTTTCGTGTCAGGATGGAACTATTGTAACCGACTCAAAGGCCAAGGCGGAAGTGCTTGCCAAGATCTTTGCTGCCAACTCCACCATGGACGTCTCTCCCCAACGCCCAAGTGCCCACGATTCAGAGGGTTCCCTACACTATACGGGAAGTAACACTCAGGCTTAGGGCCGTGAGATGTGTCGCTTGCCGCTCGACATCAACAAAGCTTCTGGTCCAGACTTGATTCCTGGCATTGTACTGAAAAGGTGTGCAGCGTAGCTTGCTCCAGTTCTTTTGCGTCTCTTCCAGGTATCTTATGAATTCGGCGCCTTCCCAGAAAACTGGAAAATTGCTCATGTCCAACTCATCCCCCCCCCTTTATCCCGAGGGTGATGAGATTGTGGAACAATCTACAAGAGGAAGTTTTCCCAGTTCTACTAACCTTAGGCAGTTCAACAATCGGATTAAGAAAATTTGTCCCGGCATTTAGGCTTATGTCTGCGCGGCGTTCCTCAAAATCCATTTTTCATTTTATCATATAAATAGTCCAAAAATGAAAAAATAGCGTCAAGTAACTTGACTCTGTACTTCCACCGACGATGCTTCTCTATTGGTGGAGAACGCCGCACGTATCGACACCCGACTGTAGGAGATATTTCTAAATGTAGCGGGGACATCTATACGAGTGACATGATTAATATGATCAGGATCGAAGTTTGAGTGATTTTTATTTTATTATTTTGGCCTTGTTCGACCTACAACGCTTTCACGTCATTGGCATAGTAGTAGAGGAGAGTGACCAAATATGGAATAGTATCCCTAATATGGAATACCGGCATTTCTATCAAATGGAAAATGACACACGCAGTAAACAGTGTTCGTCTCTGTCTTCGAGCCGCGTTCACGCTTACAAGTCGTAGCTTGTCAGTCGAGCGAGCCCGTTCATCACAGTCGCAGTGTTTCGTTTTGTCGCTTCCGCATATCTTTCTAAGGTACGTAAAAAACACGTATTTTTCTTACAAAAAGTGCATACAGTATTGTTGTTATAACTTCTAGACATAGTTTGGATGTTCTTTTGTGGATTTTAGCGGTATTTGATGATATTATCTTATCAAATATAAAAATATAAATGTCAGTTTGCAGTCGTTGGGAGATCCAAATATGGACGAATCATAGTAGCTAATTATGGAATATTCCATGATTGGTGCTTTTAAGTATCAGCTGATTTGATGATTCTGTTAATTTAAAAGTATGTTTTCTATTTTTCCTCAGAATGGCTGGCGTCAACTCAAAAACGAAACGAAAAGATTGGAATGCAGAGGACATGGCGCAAGCTATTACATCAGTAACAGAGAAACAAATGGGAGTAGGTAGGGTTTGTCTGTTCTAGAACGCCCTTGAGAGTCGACCTTGGGAGCCAACCTTGAACGCATATTTAACCTCGAAATGTGACCTTGAAATGTAACCTTGAAACATGGCCTTGAAATATGACCTTGAAATGCAACCTTGAAATATAGCCTTGAAATGCGACCTTGAATCGAAATATGGCCTTGAAATATAACCTTGAAATATAGCCTTGAAATGTGACCTTGAATCGAAATATGGCCTTGAAATATAACCTTGAAATATGACCTTGAAATGTGACCTTGAAGTCGTGAGTGGTAGACGGTATGACCTTGGAAATATGTGTTTAAATTAGTGCAGCGCTCGGAGAGGAGGCAGTTGTTCGCAGACAGCACGAATCAAACAATGAGTGCAAGACAAACATTTAAGTTGCCGACGGTGTGGGAGGGGAAGCCGGTGGCGGTTATACGCCCATTCAACAGAATACATCCTGAAGAAGAAAATTGGGACGACCCATGGCCCAGAACGCATATGGGCACCACACCGCCGCATCAACCATCTGAGTCCAGAACACCTATGAACACCCACACCGCAGCATCCTCCATCTGGGTCCCGAACACCCATGGACACCACACCGGTTAGCCGATATGGAGTCAGGAATCCGGCGCCGGAAGTGGCAGTGGAAGAGAATTGGGATGATGAAGCAGGTTCTAATTCGGATCAGTTGATTCAGGTGCCCATGCAGAGAAGTATACCTCCAGGCATGGGTCGTGGTGCGAGACTAAGATGGATTATACAGAAGAGAAGGAGATTGCGACAGGTGCAGCAGTGAAGGAAGCAGGGTTTCAGAGGGTTGAGGTATTGTTGGCAAACGGAAGCAAGGTTTAAGAGAGTGGAGACAATGTTGGTAGAAGGAAAAAGTAGTGGGGTGACTAAAAAGTGCACCAGCAAAAGTAACATGTGCAATGAAGGTGAACATATAAGTATTATTCCAAAGACCGTATCCTTCAACGAAACAAAAAACAAAGTACATATCATGTATGCATGACAATATGCATATAGAGAAGCTCGAAGAAGTAACGGGAAGATGGCAGATAGATGTAGGTTTCAAAGGCGAGTGCAACTAGTCGAAGAAGTGTTAAAAAAATACTTGACAGTAGATTATAGGCAAACAGTGTTTACAGAAAGGTTTAAAGTGTAAATTATTTAAGAGCTGCAAAACACTTTGGTGTGCCGAGAACTACCTTGTTTCGATTATGCCAGAAAAACGAATCACCGCCAGAAGAAGCCGCAGCTACTACACATGGGAGGAAAACCGTTTTAGGGACAACCGTTGAAAATCTTTTGGTAGACTACATTTTGACGATGGAGGGCAAATTCTACGGCTTGACGAGAAACGATGTTCGAAGAATGGCGTACATGTTGTCAAAACGTAATCAGTTGAAAAATCCATTTGGTGAAACGGGATTGGCTGGAAAGAAATGGCTTAAGCTATTTCTTAAGCGCCATAAGGACAAACTATCAGTGAGAAAACCAGCTGGCACATCTTTTGCTCGAGCATTTGGATTCAGCAAAGAAAAAGTAGACACATTCTTTGATCTCCTTGAAGGCGTTTATGCTCAAGAAAACTATGGTCCACACAGCATATACAATGTTGATGAATCTGGGCTTACCATAGTACAGAGCAAGATACCCCAAGTGGTTGGCCATAAAGGGAAACGGCAGATAGCTTCACTTACCTCAGGTGAAAGGGGTTCATTAATGACAGTTGTTGTTGCTATGAACGCCACTGGTCATTTTGTACCTCCCTTTATTATATTCCCTCGCAAGAATATGAGTGCTCAGCTAATGAGAGGCAGTCCCCCAGGCGCTGTTGGTATTGCACATCCATCAGGATGGATACAAATGAACATATTCACTGACTAGTTCAAACATTTCATTAAACATACCAACCCTACTCCGGAATCGAAAGTATTACTGATCTTGGATGGTCATTTTTCTCATACTCGTAACATCGACGTGATAGATCTTGCTAGGGAAAATAATGTAGACATTGTGTCCTTACCTCCTCGCACAACCCACAAGCTCCAGCCACTAGATAAGACGTTTATGGGACCTCTCAAAACGTATTACAGTGAAGAAATACGAATGTGGATCAGAGACAATAATAGACCACTAAGCCCTTATGATATGACGGAGCTGTTTGGTAGGGCTTATTTAAAAGTACAAACGAGTGAGATAGCAGCCAACGGATTTCGGGTTACAGGACTATGGCCATTGAATAAAAATATTTTTACCGCGGTCGACTATCTTGCTGCGCAAGAAGATGCAGTTAAAGATGGTTGCACAGTAGATGTTACACCAATGACATTAAGTCTCCAACCTTTAGAAGAATCGATGGTCAATCTTAGCACACCTGCTGATGGTAAGCCTTTAACTGAAGCTTCTACATCCAGACAAGATAGAAATATTGAACCTGAACTTCCAGAATTTCTCACAGTAGTTTAGGATCCGTTTCTCCATATGACATCAGTCCAGTACCAAACAAGAAAAGGAAACCTTCTAATAGAGGAAGAAAAGCATCTGTTGCAGCAGTCATCACATCGTCACGTTACAGGGAGGATCTCATAGAAAAAAGTAAGAAGAAAGACGAAAAACAAAATAAATGGGCAAAGAATAAAAATCAAAAACAAAACAAAAAAAACAACATCAAAAACAAAATCTCAGTCAGATTCAGATGATGATGAGGAGATGATGATGTTTGATACAGACAGTGAGCCCGATGCCTTGATAGGAAATACAGCTCCAGACTCTGAAGATGCGGAGTGTATTTTCTGTGGCATGCTGTTTTCAAATGACACCCATGGGGAAACATGGGTCAAGTGCCTCATGTGTGGGCTCTGGGCACATAATGATTGCGCAGGACCAGAGTCTGATGCCTGGATTTGTGAGTTTTGCAAATAATTTGTGTTCCTTTTTATGTTATACCAACGTTTCCAAAGAATCTCATTTAAGTTAAGGTTAAATTTTGTTGTTATTTATAGTATTCCATACATGGGCTACCTATTCCATATTTAGATGCCTTTATAATTATTTAGTTTTTGTTTTAAATTTTATTTAAAATTTGTCAATGTAACCAAAACTTGTTACAAAATAAAGCGTAAGTATATGATTATTATTAATGACTACAAAATATTTTTTATTTGTAAAGTTTGTGCAAATTATGTGTGAAAAACAAAATGGTAATCCATATTTGGTCACTCTCCTCTAACATAGTGTAAACATTTCATTGATATCCGATCCGTACTTCTCAAGTTATAGGCGGTTACAAGATAAGCAGACCCGACGGAAATGAACGACATGGTTTTTCGTGAAGTACATGTTACATAACATCCAAGAAACATATCTAGTAGGCGTCGAGAGTCAAAATAGGTGAGGTTTACGAAGACTGTCACAAAATTGCACAGAACAAAGTAAGGCTATATGCAAAATGATGTCACAGTGGTCAATCACTGCCGTTCATCGTGCACCTGTCGAAATCTCTCTTTTCCGTTCTGGTTTTCGTTTACGTTCTAGTTTCCGTTCCCGAATAATTTTTTGCAGCGGCCTTTACCGTTACAGATCGTTTGTTTTTTCTTCTCTTCACATATTCCTATTCACTGTGTTACTATAACAATCTGAACGGTCCTGTAACATGCTGAGACTGCGGAAAGCCACCAGTATAATTTTAAGATTGCACCACGCATAATCAGCAAGACAGGCATACGACTCCCCAAAAGGATGTCCAGCTTCTAAAAGCGATAAGCGAGCATGAGGTTATCTGTCGTTTTTTAATGTACCAGACACCTCACCTACGTCTATCAATCATAGCATATCACAGCACCGTTCAGACTATTGTAGTGACAGACCGTATAGGGATGCGAAAAAGAAAGAAAAAACAAACGAGCTTTCACCTGCAGATAATGAAACAAAATATATTGTCATTAGAATTGTCATTTTTACATCAAAAAGGCCACCGTGACGGTCGAAACATCGTCAGTAAACCGTATTTCAAGCGCATGTAGTTTCCATTTAGCGGCCAAACAAACATCGAGGATTATTAGCATGAAAACCACAGGATAACGCTTAGTTCAGATGACGTGCTTCGAGATGACGCGGGCTTGTACTGGCGGTGACCAGATGGCACGCATAAAAATTGTAGTCCAAATTTCACTGACGTCGTAATGTCTACGAGAGAGGAGCGTGCAATACGTATGTTAAAGTACGCAGATGGCAACGCAGCAAGCCGCAGCGGCATTCGTGACTCGGGTTGCTATGCAACGTGGTGCTTCTATCTCTTGCAAGCGTTTTGTGCTCCTCTCTCGTACACATTACGACATCTATGGTACATGGATTTCTCTGTATATGAGACTCGGTATTTGGAGTGTACCAGCACTCAAAAATAAGAACAGAATTTTTTTAACTATTTCAGAATGTAAATAAAATCGTTGAGTGGTAGAATAATCCTACCTAATATTTCCTTTTTCCTTCGCCATCAACAGGTTAGCAAATAATTATTAGGTTTTTTTTGCCGTCTTAGTAGTGAATGTAACTTGAAGTGCATCTCCCAAATCGCAGCCTACTCTTTCAATTTCATTACTAAATTATTTCTGTTTCCACCTCAATACATTACGGTGGAAAGCAACGTCAGATATGTCGAATGAACGCAACGAAAGATGAGCGCCAACTGAACAGGCAATGGGAGCGTCAACACGCTGACCGACGCGCGTAGCGTCTAATGGCGCCATACGGGAGCACATTTTCTGTGGCGCGCATCCATGTGAACAGCACGTACTGATTCTGAAGCGCCAAGCGAACGCGCGTCATCTGAACTTAGCCTAAGCTTTACGTGTTACATTAAAATTAAGATTGTTCCAAGATGCGCTGCAGTGAATGTTTTATGTTACCCTCGCACAATTATATCACTTTTTAACAGATGTCCGTTGTGCATTTTCCTTTGGTTTCGTGGAGCATGGCGGTGGGTAGAAGGAGGCGACAACGCGACTGTGGCGCCGCCCATAGTCAGATCCTGAACCAGAAATCCAATTTCATTATTTGGTCACACCGTCTGTTGTCATTGTAGTCAGCTTCAAGGGCGGACGAGTCACTCTCACGCAAGAAGCTCTTTACACAGTTAAATAGACACACTGACACAGATTTTAACCCAATATGTATACGTATATAGATCGCACTTCACCAGAAGTACAAACTGCGCTTCCCACCGATTCCACAACGCGAGTTTCGGAGGAATGAACAAGTTTTTCTTGAAGCTGTGATAAAACTGATGATATAAACATGGCTCAAATAAAAAAATGGCGTCCGGAAGTTGACTCTGCACTTCCTAAACGTAATGAATAAATATATTCCGCACAGGTTAGTCCTTCTTAGAAATTCTTTTGCTACGAACATGTATGATGAATTAAATCAAGCAGGCCGATTCTATCAGTCCATAGTCTACACAGATTTGACAACATTGCGGCAGTACCGACCACCCAGCAACGTGAAACTCAGCACGGCATTGCACAAACAGATGCACGCATAACCATTCAGTCAGTCAATTATCCTTAAGCATTCGAAGCACATAGACGTACACTCGTTGAGGCGTCCAGCACGCCTATATCGAAAACATTGTTATTCAGTATTAAGGGTGAATGTATGGGTTAATCTACGATGTAAGAGATATGTCTAATAGGTGGGTAGAATTAACGGGATTGGAAACGTATAAATTGCTAGCACTATAGAATGTATATATATATACTCTTCCCCATTTCATACAATCCCAACAGGCAATTTATAAACCCTGCAACTTTTTTCCGGAAAATGATAGGATCCTCTGAATCTTCTTTTTGAAGAAGCGAAGTTCCTCACCAGTAGCGTAGGAAGTAAAAATACTAACATGTATTTATTGATAAAGCTTCGGTCACAGCTACAAGAAAAACATAGTTCTGAGATAACGAAATCAAAATTGTCATCGCAGTATAAGCCCGTAATAGGCCATGGATAAGACAAGCATTAGTCTGGTGGTTACCGAGGTGGAATTTCATGTGTATGGAACAAAAAAAAATGGCCAAAAAGTTCAGGTATTTATGAATTAATTTCTGTTAGACTTAAAATGTTTACGCTCTAATAAAATATTTGGATTTAAAGATTTCAACAAAATTTAGATAAACAATCTCAATTTTTCAAGCAAGTGAATGTTAGTTTGTAGTAATCACAGATAATATCAAATTCATGAAAACCAACTAACAATTTTGCAAATTCGATGCAAACATGCATTGATTGAGCACGATACGAACATCTAAACTTATAACAAATGACAAATGGTTGAAACCAGTATCTATCAGGATTATTTGTTGCGCTCGTTTTGCAAGTTAAGTGAGAAAGACAGACAAACAGACATAAGGATGTCAAATCTGATTTCTGACTCACTTATGAAAGAAATCTCATTACAGTTAAACTGAGATTTGGTAAATCGAACACGCAAGATTTTGGTCTTTTAGAAAGTTCGTTCCGAAATTATTGAACATTATATAGTATGAAACAATTCTTCTTTTTGTATTTTGTATATGTATGGTCAGTCGGTAACACAAATTGATTTTTAAATATTTTTGCGACAAAAAAGGAGAGACTTTAAATATGTTTTTGTGAGAAAGCTAAACTACAACATCGACTTATCACCACAATAATGCAACCAAATTTACGTAGTATCTGTTAAAATTAATCAGCTATTTTTTACATATTGATGTGGTTTGTAACGATCGATTTTTCACACATACTCAGCAATTTGTGTGCATGCCATTAAACAAAGACAGTGATAACTACGCTTCAATGTACCATAACCATATCCCTAGGCATCAGATTTAAGCAAAATTTACGGAAAACAGAAGAGAAAAAGCGTTAAGACTAAAGCAATGCCAGAAGTCACATGGGAGTTATAGGAAAATTCTTTATCAATGAAGGGGACCACCTTGTTTATTTTGTGATTTCCTTAATGCCTTAATTTGAAACTTTCCTCATTTCACTAGTATCCTCAAGGAACGCAAGGTCTATCTCAGTTTGGTACTTATGTCTAAGGACAATTTGGATCAAGCCTCAAACTTATCACTGATAACAGGAGGCCTCAGATTTTCAGGAGTCATCTTCTGTGATATTTACTCACTGGACGCTCTCATGAAACCAACAAGGCATCCTCATAATAAGAAGGCCTCAAGGAGCAACTATCTTTTAGATTTATTTTGCAAAAGCATACACATCAAACGCATATATACATTTATAGGATGGCCACGCAAATGGACTTACTGTTTCCGGATCTACAAAAAGGTATATTCTAAATGTTTAAACTTTTTTCAACGAGCAAGGAGAAGCAAATACTGCCATACAATTTCAAATGTTTATTCAAAACCTGGCTCAAAGCTGTCACGTAACGTATCAGTTATTCTGCACCTTGCACTTATAATATAAACCTACTTCAGTCATGGAAGTTTAGCTTCCGTTTAATGTAACAAAATAACCTTTATTCTGTGACATGAAATCTATGGCACTTTCTATGCATATAGACAACAAAAATCAATTTTGAATGGCTTGTTCCGCTAGCGGCAAATGTAGAAAATATTTTTTTTTCTAAAGCTGCTAAATTCAACCAGTTTTCTCAGAATCTTATGGAGCCACTAAACAGGCAATACCATTATCGCATGATCTAGCGAGTAGTCAGCAGCATACAGCAATATTTGTAGTATTATATAGCTATACTGCTACAAATGTTTTACATTTACGACCTCTTTTGCATAGCAGACGCGGTACCCTGGCATTTAGGATTCTACCTGCGCGACTGTTTCGGTGTAAACAAATTCATATATTGCCGAACACCATGCTCTTTGTCGCTGTCTTATTTCGATTGATATGGAATGTATCAGGAATATATGGAAGGGAGTTATTTCAGTAACAGAGGATTACAAGCGCGTAATGTGAAACATCTTTTAGGAATAGATAAACTAATTTCTAAGAATAGTATTTAATTTGCATATAATTTTTCCATTATACTTCAAGATTTCCAAAACGCGTGGCCATCCTAGATATCAATCTATCACCACCACCACAACAATACCATCACCAAATCTATTACTACCTACCAACGAATTTGACTAGAGTAGAAAGAGCCAAGCCTATACCTTTATATTGCACTGTTTTTTGCCAATATTGTGTAGTTTTAGTGAATACTGAGATTTTGGAAGGTGAACAATACGAAACATTCCCTCTATCAAACAGCAACAATGAAGGAATACCGGATATTGGAAACTATGTGACACCCTGCTCGGTTTTTTAAATAGTTGTGATCCGAGCTAAAAGCAAATACCTTGTTGAGCGTAATATGGAAACTTGCTACTATGTCATTGTGATGTGATTTTTTTGTTTTTTTTATGTTCCATCCAAATGTTGTATCCAATAAGGTCATTTTTTATTCATTTTTCACACATATATAATGATATGCGAATATTTAAGTGTGTCAAATCTACATGAAAAATTAATGTTAGCTTGCTTTATAAACTATGGTCCAAAAATGTTTCTTTACCAAAACTCGGGGTGTTGAAGCTTTAGGAAAAAAATGGAAATTAATTAATACTTTCAGAACCGCTTCAGATATTTCACTGATATTTAGTACGAAGTGAAATTTAATAAAGTTGCATATTTTTCAATACAAAAATAATTTTTAGCTTTAACAGTGGCATGCGTACGGGTATTGACTTCGATATTTTTTAAGAAAAAAATGGTACGCCAATAACTTTTTGCCAAATGAAAATTATTTTTGAATTCCCCGTTCAATATAAAATAAATGATCTTTCTTGAGTTGTTTTCATTCGATGCGCCATTTTTGAGTAAAAAAAAAATAAAAACCGTTCTATTTTCCGATAAAATTAATGTAATATTGAAGAAAGCAATTTAGTAATAAATATCTAGTTCCTCTGGAATATGTCACTGGCTTTTTATTTGGTAAAAGACCATTGGCGTACCATTTTTTTCTTAAAAAATATCGAAGTCAATACTCGAAGGCACGCCACTGTTAAAGATAAAAATTATTTTTGCATTGAAAAATATGCAACTTTATTAACTTTCACTACGTACTAAATATCAGTGAAATACTTGAAGCGGTTCTGAAAATATTAATTAATTTGCAATTTTTTTTCCTAAAACTTCAACACCCCGAGTTTTGGCAAGGAAACATTTTTGGACCATAGTTTATAAAGCTAACTAACATTAATTTTTCAAGTAGATTCACACCATTAAATATTCGCATATCATTAAGGAACACTCTGTATAGAGACTATAAATATAAATAGAAATGCGGTAACTTTTGGCAACCCTGTAATTTCAGATTTAGATATAGTTTGATTTGAGTGAACACCGATCAAGGAGATAATTATCGTTTCTTTGTCTGCTTCCTTGATCCGTTTTGAGTCCGAAAGATTAATTCTAAATTAACAAAAATATACATATAAAAATAAACTTCATCGAGATGTTGATATTGGGAACAATCACGCCAGGTCACCAAATCTCGACATCATTATGACGTGCTTCTACTTAGCTGGGTTTTTACTATATTTATCAAACAAAACGATTTGGAAGTATTTTAATTGAATTGATATTCATAGTTTTATGAGGTTCCCCCATAGTCTCGTGGCACTAAGATGAGATGGTAATATTACTTCTTATAACGCGAGAGTGCCTTTCTTAAGAACTGTTAGATTCAAAATTAAAGTAGATAAACTCTAGTTTAGTTTCAGTTAGAATAAAATGTTGTTTACTTCAATATTTTGCATTTTAACGTTGCTGTTTGTTTGCTTGTTTAAGATTTGTTTAGCATGATTGCTACAATTACATTCTTCTAAAAAACTAAACAATTACATAACATACAGATATTCAGAAAAAAAACAAAATTTGCATCTCTAAGAATTTTCAATTGTCAATGAAATATTCTTTTAATTTTCTTTTACATATCTTTAAATTACAAGTAGACTTTATATCATTATTTAGTTTATTAAATCCAAGTAATCCTTTCTGAAATATTGATTTGCTAGTTATATTACTACTGCAATTTTTTAAATGAAAATCTATATTTCTTCTTGTATAATAATTGTGGTAATGATTATTCAATTCTATGTAGTGTTCTAAATGTTCTGGCAATGATTTTTAATTTTAAATATAAAAATAAGAACCAAATATGATAGGAAATTTTTTATATTCAACCACTGCAATTCTTGTAACATAGATTTTATTTTGGTGTACTTATTTTTATTCAATATTATTCTCATAGATTTATTTTGCAAGACTTGTAATTTTGAGAATACAGCTTCATTGGCAGCCAACAAGATAGTTCAACAATATAGTAAATGCGGTAAACCAATTATAAACTGTTTTCTTGGAATAGATACCAAGACTATGAGAAGCTCTATAAAAGTAATTTATTTTTTTGGCAATTTTTGAAATAATATAGTGATCCTCAAACTTTAGTTTACTATCAATATATATATATATATAACTTGAGACATGGTCATTGTCGTCTAGACCAGTTAGGTGAAAAATTAAAGCTTCCGCCTTTTGTTGGGTACTTCGACAAAATTTAAGCAAAGAGGACTCTTTATACTTTTTTAATTCTCTCTAGCTTTCAATGGACTTTGCCATCATCATCAGGAGCTGCAATTACAATGATAACAGTAGCAACAAAAGTGTAAAATGAATTTAAATTGACTCAACTTACAGTAGTATGTGAGGATGTTGCTAATTGTTGTGTACGTATAGAATGAGGGAAACGTCCAGTAACATGGTGAAAGCTGGATAGATGGTACACTGGTCAAAAATTATATAAAATATGACAAGAACAAGTTAAAAACAGATTAAATTTTTTTTTTAAAATGAACATTACATCGTGAAGCCACTTGATGATTGCACAAAATGGTGGTCATGGAATAATGAGTGAGATGAACCCTTTGACAGAAGGCCGAAGCTTGTCAATGTCTGTGTTGAAAGATGGAACGAATTACATAACATTCTGAAAATCACATGATCTGAAGTGATTTCGCAACGTTTGGCACACGCCCACAATTCGTTCTATCTTTCAACACAGACATTGACAACCTTCGGCCTTCTGTCAAAGGGTTCATCTCACTCATTATTCCATGACCACCATTTTGTGCAATCATCAAGTGGCTTCACGATGTAATGCTCATTTTTTTAAAAAATTTTTAATCTGTTTTTAACTTGTTCTTGTCATATTTTATATAATTTTTGACTAGTGTACCATCTATCCAGCTTTCATTATGTTACTCGACGTTTCCCTCATTCTATACGTACACAACAATTAGCAACATCCTCACATACTACTGTAAGTTGAGTCAATTTAAATTCATTTTACACTTTTGTTGCTACTGTTATCATTGTAATTGCAGCTCCTGATGATGATGGCAAAGTCCATTGAAAGCTAGAGATAATTAAAAAAGTATAAAGAGTCCTCTTTGCTTAAATTTTGTCGAAGTACCCAACAAAAGGCGGAAGCTTTAATTTTTCACCTATATATATATATATATACCTAAATATTTAATTGATTTAACATTTTCAATTATTTCTCCATTTATCCTAACTGTGATAGTATTTTCATTTAGGTATTTCCCTATTAGCATACATTTTGTTTTAGAAGTATTCAATCTTAGTTTATTTACATTTAACCAATTTACGATTTTTGCCAAGTCAGAATTTAGCATTTTTAAAGCAGTGTCTATATTTTCATCTGATATGTATATTAATGTATCATCTGCAAATATCTGAAGTTTACAATAATCTAAAAATTACAAATGTCATTAATGTATAAAATAAATAGTAATGGACCTAGTTTACTACCTTGTGGTATACCAACAGAAATATTTTTTGATCTTAATAATGTAGATCCAATTTTGGTTTTTTTGACTTCTGCCAATTAAATAGTTTTGTAGAATTTAGAATGCAGATCCTTTAAATCCGTAGTGATGCAATTTTGAAAGAAATCTATTCCTGTCAATAGTCTCAAACGTTCTTTTGTCCAAAAACACTGTAATTGTATGTTTCCGATTGTCCATACATCCGTTACGCATACAATTTTGTTAAAAATGGGACCGAGTGAAACGAAATAAATCAAAATGCCTCACAATGTCCAGTTAAAAGCCTGAAGTTGAGGTACATGCCCAACATTGCAGATGACTATAATAACACTTATCCAAAAAATATTTGCTTTTATTCAGTTTAAACTGCTTTTGGCATTACACAGAAACCTTCATCATTTTCGGCAATGGTCTGGAACACTGGGAAACGGCGGCTTAAGCCTGATCTTGTCGTATAAACTTGATCCTGACTGCTAACTGTGTAATCTTGATTACAAACAAAACGAATACTTGCTCATTCTACCTAGTCCGAATTCGTTGCTACCAACCACCAGCTCTACTTGGACACTACAACGATATACCATCAACTATCTCGTAACTCACCTCTTGGTGAACCCCTTGAGGCTGAACTTGCTAAAAAACGACGGCCTGGCGTGCGAGTCGTGCGGTCCCCCCGGTCCCCCAGCAGCTGCTCCAGCAAGCGGGCCTCCGTGATGTCCGTACGCGGCAGCAGCAGGCCTGGGGCGGGTCTGTCCCGAATGGAAGGTGCTCCTGGAGGACGCGTTGCGCGGGAACGCTTGTTGACCCCCCGCTGAGCTTGCTACCGAACCTGCAGCCCCGCTGCCGTGCCCCGAACGCACGCCGGTACCTACCGTAGAGGTGCTGAGGATGCCGCCTGGGCCTCCGCTGGTGCGACTGGAAATGGAATAAACAGATGTTAATATGGTACGTAGTGAAACATTGACACTCTAACTGTACACGGAACTCGAAAAACTTAGCTATAGATTATACAGGGTGTAAACGCTATGGTAGTCATTATTGAAACTGGTAATAGGGGGAGTCAAAACAAGTCAAACAGTTTATATGACCCATTTTTTTTGGAATACATACTGAAATTATGGGAAACTGTTTGAAAAATAATAAAATGCACAACGCAAGTGTCTCTTACTGCGTGACACTTTTCAAATGTAAAATTGAATACTTCACAGTGAAGGCATGACAGCATAGATTTTCTGTATCAGTAATATATACTAAGTTACATATACATCCGAACACCCAGTTTAAATGGTTTTATTTTAATAAAATTTTGTATAAGTACTTAATGAAGCATAATAAGTAAATGATAAAAATTTCAAAATGATTGCACTGCTTTAAAGCCCTTTGACCTTTAATAATGTGTGGATGCACCCTGATGTGCTACGCATTCTCCAACGCGCCTAGGCATGCGTCTGATCAGGTGGTCAATGTCCTCCTGTGGTATCTCATTCCAGGCAACCACCAACTCCTCTCGAAGTGCTTCTAGAGTCTGAGGAGGACGTTGCAAATTGAGCAATCTCCTACCCATCATATCCCACACGTGCTCAATTGGGGATAAGTCGGGAGATCTTGGTGGCCATGGTAACAATGTGACATCATTATGTTGAAAGAAGTCTATTGTGACTCTTGCAACATGTGGTCGGGCATTATCTTGTTGGAAAGTTGGATCTGCCACAGGGTGTCAAGATAGGGTAAAAGATGGGGTTCTAGAACTTCGTGGATATAACGCTGCGCGTTCATGTTACCTCTGATGAAGATTAAAGGTGACCTGGAACCATAAGCTATAGCACCCCAAACCATAACTGCAACAGTGTGATGCACATGTCTTTCAACAAAAAACTGTGGATTCCTCCTTTCATCACGTCGCCTTCTAACCCTGGCACGACCATCGTGCATGCCTAAACAAAATCGAGACTCATCACTAAAGACAATACTGTTCCATTCCTGATCCCAGAGTGACCGTTGTCTGCACCACTCATGGCGATTACGTCGGTGTTCTCGAGTTAAAGGGAGGACCCAGTGTGGCCGGTATGAAAACAAGCCAAAACTTCTCATTCGTCGGTAAACACTTCGCATGCCAATAGGTCTTCCGTGTTCTGCAAACCATTCATTTGCAATGGACCTGGTAGTGGAGAAACGGTCCCTTAAGGCCAATAATCTTAGGCGGCGATCTTCACGGTCTGTTGTTCTACGGCGGCGTCCAGTGCCGCTTGCTCTTTGCGTACGGCCTTTTCGAAGTCATGCCTGACAACCACCTAACCACAGTGTCTACACTTCTTTGCACTCTAACTGCAATTGCCCGAAAAGAAAGTCCAGCTTCCCGAAGTCCCACTATACGGCCCCTATCAAACTCACTAAGTTGACGAAATCGTACAGGTCTCCGTACTCTAGGCATCGTAAGCGATCGTAAAGGATGTCAAGAACCAAAATCCGCCAACGTTGATTCTTTACTGCGGCTGAAATATTCATTTTTAGAGCGTTAGTGAATTAAAAAAAAGCAGTATAAAAACCGGAATGTCCAACTGATAAGGCTGAACATTTTTTCACTTGTTATTTACAGTAAGATAAATACATTCACCAACTTTTATTAAAATAAAACCATTTAAACTGGGTGTTCGGATTTATATGTCACTTAGTATATCACTAATCTCATAAAGCACAGTACGTTCACGGTAAGATTGGAGAAACAAAACGAAAGAAAAAAATCAAACGTATGTATAATAAAAAGCAAAGCCAGGCTAACATCCTTTAACATAACAAACCGATGGTTCAAAAGCAATTTATATTATATTAAGAACGTTAACAGAGCAAGACGTTGAACTAAGATTGCCTAATCTCAGTCAGCCAAGACTGCGGTTATACTTCATTTTTAAGATATGTCATTTAAGCATAACCACCAAAAACCTATTGACAATGATAAAGTGACTTATCGCTAGCGCTAAAATAACCACTTTGCCACGGGGGTCAAAGAGACTTACGGATGGCAATATATCCAACACAATACTTGCAATATTTTTTTTCAACTGTCAACTTTATTAATGTTCCATCAGACGTGACTTACAAGTATAGGAATAAGTCAAGCATTTAAATTACAAATTCAAATTAGTCAATAAAAACAACAAAATACCTATATACATAGACATTAATCAAGGCATACATCATACATCAATACATTAAAATCATAATTGCCAAGGAGATATTCGCATACCTTGCGTTTGAATGCTGAGGTACACACGATGGATTTTAAGGTTGAGGGTAAGTGGTTGAACAATCTTTTGGACACCGAAGCAAGCTTTTGACTGGATATGACAATATGGAAATACGCGGAGATTATAATCCGGTGTGTTAATATCATTCCTTGTATGAAACTGATTATAATTATCCCTGACATAGATTAAGCACTTATGAATATACAAGGAGTATATCGTTATTATGCTTTACTGTTTGAATAGCTCTCTGCAAGGATTTCTTGAATTTTTGTAGAGCATGGCCACTATACAGTAACTTAGGGAAGAATGAAAATAATATAGATTTAATAGTTGGATACTAACATGCTGCCGGAGCTGCCATATGAAAAACGAACGAACTGATATTTTTTTGGCGAGGTGTTCAATTTGGCTCACAAACAAGAGATAGGAGTCCACGTATAAGTAATTTGGCACAATCGTTCTGCTTCTTTATATCGCATACCATTATCTAACGCTGAAATTTAATGCACTGCGTTAAAACAGTACCAGGTCTGTTTTTTGTGCATTCAAAATGGGACCATTAGAATTGCAGCAGTTACTCATTAGAATGAGTGAATTATGTGTTCCTGGTTCCTAAGAATCTGATGAGTAGTAGCGTTTTGAATATATTAGAACATGTATGATTTACATACTCTACATACGGAGAAGGCAGCTATGCGCCTCAGGATATAAAAGTGCTCGACCAATAATTGCACACCACAATCAACCAACGTATGTACTCTATACTACTATCATTGTCAAAAGATTTTCATTGGTTGAGGCGTCAGTCTGGATTATTAAAAAAACTACGTATTTTCGAATTGAGAATAGAGTCTTCCGGCATATATAAACTGCCTGTAAGGTTTAATGGGGCAGGTAATGTTAGAGGATCTGGGTGAATACAGATACAGCGACACACAAAACCAAAAAGCGACAATGAATCAGCAAGCAGGCCAGATAGGTCTGTTTAGACCATATGACATCAGTAGCGGGATGGAAATGTACCGGGTGGCTCAATAATATATCTCAGCAATGGCCATAAAAAATCTCATAACAACAGTGTCCAAGAAAAATTGCTGGAAATTATTTTCCACTTTCTGATATGGCTGCTAGGGGCGTATTTTCAATTTCCAAAATTCAAACGCAATATTTTACAAAAACGCGTAATTAATATACTCATTTGATAATTCTATGTTAATTGCTAGATTGTTGAACTTTTTTCTCAATGTCATTTTTTCATATAGTATTTAGTTTCATTTATAACTTCTGTATGGCTGCCCCGGATTTCACGATCATTCGAAACGAGCTCTTACTCAAGGCTAATCTTGTCAAATTAGTTCACTTTGTGGCCACTAGGTAGGAATTTATGGATGTGTAACTGTTTTTTAATTTTTTCGAAAATCTTATATACAACGGCATACTTTTTTAATATTGCTCGGAAAGAGCTTGCATCTTTATTCGTTGTGGAGATATAATATTAAATATGCAGAAGAGTGCAACCATGTATCGACAACGATGGCAAACAGTTCGAGCACCTGGCCAGACATCAATAACTCTAAGTCGCTGGAAAATCAGATAGGTTCTTTTTAGGACCGCTTACATTTTTTAAGAAAAAGAACTTTGAAAATGTGAAAGCTCACTTGCGAGCGACACGATCTCAATGGTTTTGAGTTTGACATTTCCACATTTATTTTAGGTTATTCGTTTGTTTCTGTCTCAGAATGTCTTGACATGGCACGACAGATTTTATTATTAGCTTTTTTTTTTAACGAAATAGCCGCTATAATATTGAAATTATATGCAACATAATTTGCGCCCTTACAAGGTCTAAATATCACAAGTGGATAAAAACACAGTATTTTCTGAATTCTTAGTATTCCAAAGCCAACTGTGTTAAATTATGATTTATGTCTTTTTTGATACATCGGGCGCTCTATCGGTTATAAAAAGCGTAGAAATAAATGTCCAATTAAAACACCTAGAAATCGTATCATATTAATTAATACATTTTACATAAATATTAACAGCTTGTCTTTTTAGCAAGTAGTACTTGAAATTTGTAATTTAAGCATATTTTTCATTATATCTCTATAACAAATAAAGATATTGATCTGCGGTTTCGCCATATAATAGGATTTTTATGCTCTTTCAGAAAAATATTAAAAAGTATGTAGTTGTATAGATTTTCGAAAAAACTTAAAAAAAACAGTGACACATCCATCAAATGCGATCTAGTGGCCACAAAGTAAACTAATTTGAAAGAATGAAAAAGAATGATATAGAAGCGCATGTGCAAGCTCTTTCGGATAAAACCACATTCGTGAAAATCGTTGCAGCCAAACAGACGTTATATAACTTATTCTGAAATAACACAACCATTCCCCAACACTAAACGGAACAAAATTTGAAGAATTACATTGAGAAGTAGATAATAGTTTAAAAAACTAAAAAAAAACATGGTTTTATAGCTAACCGACCTAAAAAGTAGAAAATAATTTTTAATTACACTTCAAGTTCTCAAATCCGAATACCCTTTAAAGATGTTCAGTGATTAAGAGCCGATTTCACAATCTGACAAACCATTATTTTCCACCAATAGGGAACGAGTACCAACACATCGTCAAATATACACAATCAGCCTCAAGATCTCTCCGTCAGATTTTTGGCTGCAAATAGCATAAAAGTATTCAAAACAAAACACTGTAAAATATGGAGTGATAGCTTGTCATTGAAATCTTATCAGTTTATTAAGTATTATAAAACTATATAAAATTGAGCTAAAAATTTTTAAAAATGCTTGATGTCCGAGTAAAATCCATTTTTTTCAGTTTAGCTCAAGGTTTCACCATGTTTATTGCAACTGTTGTAGTCCATATGTGTTTATAATCACTTAACATCACCTACCGTGTGTTTATAGTTTGTCCTACATTTGCACTTACAAACCCTTACATGAAAAAGCCGTTTCACTCAAATTTTTGTTAGGTTTTGCGTTTCAACACATTCATACACTTCTTTACAGTTCCTCAACGACATTTTGACACTACTGGTCCGAAACTGTTCAAGATTCAGTATGGTGTTGACGATCAGCAAAAATAACTCTGTAGTTTTTCTCCGTTAGCTGGTTTCCTATAAAACATATCTTCTTCAAGGCCACTCAAGATTCCTTCCTCTAGAACGTTACGTATTCTGCGTGATTCGCTTTTCAGTTTCCGTTGCGGTCGTGGTGCAAGGGTCGTTTTGTCGTTTTCCGGACTCTGGGATATTAGGCCCCAAGCGCCCATTCATGGACTAGCACCCTTTTCTTTTTGTTGTGTAACTTAAGTTTAGTTATTTTGGCTTGGGTGCTACGTCTTCCATTTTTTTATGGGATTTTGACACCCTCAGCGGGAAGTTCTTTTTTATATACCTTCGGACCGCGTGCCTTAATGAGTGTCCTGATGACGTTAGTTCAATATCTGCTTTCTTTTTGTCAATAGAAACATAAGAAAATCATCATCTTTTCTCCTCCAGTCAGTTGCATCGTTGTAGTTTTGCAAATTGGAAGCCATCTCCTTGAAAAAACCCTGATGTGAACAGGTAAAATATCATTCTAATTAACAATTTCATAGATCTTTATACATTTATTATTCCTTATTGAATATCTTAGAGACTTCTTGATTTTATTAGACAGTCTACGTACTCAAATATGGCGGCAGTGCCTACATGGCACTTTCTATTACATTGATCATGATTTTGATTTTTGAGCTGCCATAACTTTTTAGAACAAGGGTATATTAGTTTAATACATTTTTATCTTTTTTTTTTCGCCTTTGCTTTACTTTCCTTATATGAAAAAATGTACATGGTTTTTCTTGTGCGATTGTTTTCAATGAACAGTTTTATCTCAGACAGAGAGTAGATGTTTAAACAGTCTTTCGCTCTCTAGGTTTTTTTTTGGTACTACCATAATTTTTGGGACCGAGGCAAGCAGCCCCTACCCAGTGACGTGCCCCCCACTACTGGCCACTTTTTTACCAGATTCGAGGACATCCCGGCCACGCCTGACAAAGAAGACCTACAGATAAGTTCAATATTTAGGCGCAAAATATCTGTAAATACTTCGGGCGCATACCATGGTAGACGTTTCGCGAGGTTAACTCGAAAAGTAATTTTGTCAGGTCGTATTCAATATTTGTAACATACTTTCTCTTTTTCATTACTCGCACATGTGCGTTTTTTTTAATCAATATATTGTGATCCATTTGATATCTTGGCTCTCTCTGTGTGTACTGTTACTTAAATTTCCTCATCTCTGTTAAATTCTCCTTTTGTGTGGTGGTCAAGCAAAACAAGTTCCGACTAACATCTCGGGGAGTTGTGGCTTAATCATTTGCAACACATATCTGTTCGCCTTGTATTCTAATACTAATACAGTCTTTAGCTAAATTTCTCTTTACCTTGCTGCCAAAAAAACATAAGAATCGACTTTTTCGGATTGAGTTTCAAATTGTGTGCAGCAGAGATTTCATATAAGGCATTTAAATCACTATTTATTCTATTTTCAGCATCATTACAGTCAGGTATATGTTTTGTGTCCCCACCAGTCAAAATACTTGACCACCAATATTTTATTACTATTATATTTTTTTAGCTCTTATTTTTCAGTAGTTACTAATAATTTTAGGTCTATGTCTATAGTAATTCCATTACGCACCACGGAGATGTAGGGATTGACACGTTTCACAGATACGGGTGTTTTAGGATGGAGAGTTACCTACTGTTTTGATTGCTTTGAAGAAATTCATTAACCCATAAATAATAAATGATTATTACTATGATGTAACGAAAGATGAGGAATTGGTCGGAATTCATTTTATATTCTTTTTAGCGTGATAAAAAGTTCAAAAACCAAATATGTTATATATTTGAATCTTTGAAATTGAAAATACGCCCCCAAGAGGCCATTTTAGGAAGCTAAAAAGAATTTCCACCAATTTCCCTTGGTCACTTTATGTATGATATGAGATTTTTTAACAGGCGGATCTAGGTCTAGGTGAAGCCGTTGCTGAGATTTAGCCGGCGTCCTATATTATTGGGTCACCCGGTACAACTACGGCTGAAAATAAAGCAAATACGAGTATAATACGCATAAAAGCAGAAACAAATGAGACACACAGAACACAAAAAGCTCGGATAGAGAGTATGGACCTAAATCCTACTTGCGTACCACGGCCTACACCTACCTAGAACGTAAGGGATCAGTAGCGGATTCGGGTCCACTACTACTGACCGAAGCCGATTTCACATGGCCTTTAGCAGGTCTTAGAGAGTCTCCACCACCGATCGCCTCGGATCTGCACGGCATGCGGTTAGCAACAAACAATTCTCATTTTAAGTAAATGGTTATAAGGTTATAGACGAGGGTACACTCTAAATATCTACTTTTATGTACAGTTTTGTTGGCTAAACTAAACTGATAAGTAAGAGTGCTCACATTATTGAATTACAAGCTGTGTTCAAAATAAGGAGCTCCAATATGGATACAGGCGGCAATACATTATTGTCATATCGCGAGAATTTATAAGCTATTAAGCAAACTCAGGTATCAAAATCTGACTGGATGGACTGGCATTTAGGCCCGATTTTACTATTGACCCGCGGGATTTAAAATGTTGATCCGGAACATAATAGATCAATGAGAAGGCGCCTTTCTAGTAATGGATCAAATGAATATAGTCGATTGCTTCTAAAATATCTGTCAAACGTAAAAATATAGACTTGTGTAAGAAAAGCATTTAATCCTCATATTAAATCAAGAAATTCTTTATAAATTACTTGGTTTAGGTACAATAAGATATTTTTTCATTTGATCCGGGATCAAAGCCTATGATCCTGATCAACAATGCCCAATTAAAAAGCGTTTTCGTAAAACTGCGACATGGCCAATCAGAAATAAGTATCATAAACCCACCTTGTAGATGACATAACCAAATTCAAAACAAACAAAAACCTGAGAAAATTGAAAAAATGATATATGGGCAGATGATTAGGTGTAGATTTCAACAAACATACCTTCCATTATCACTTTTTCGCTGCTTTAACCAATCCCCATGTCGTCTTTCAAGGTAAATAGAGATGTTTCTGGATTACAATTCCTTTAAACACCTTTATTTGGTTTACACGAATGTATGTTGCCTTTGCTTTATAAAAAATGGTAAAAACCAGGTGAGAAATTATACAACAAAAAGAAAAGGCTGTAACATGGTAACCTTTGTCGGCTAGAAATGGGGTGTATATTCCTTATCAGATAATAACGATATTTGAATAAGCATTTCAAGTTTTTATTATTTTTGAGATGCAATAACAATAATTATAACGAAATTTGTCCTAATACAATATACCTTGCGGGCAGACCCATTTAATTTTATACAACATAGGTAATCTACACTCGTCAAAATGCATTAATATCTGGAAATACTGCACACTATTCGTCGCAATTATCAAAAAATTTGAACCTATGATAAAAACCAACGATCAAACGAAACTAATCTTATTATCTGAATTTCTCTTGCGACATTCTGTTTTGGTTAATCAGTACATCTTCGGAATGTGGATTCGATAAAAATATGTATCATTGTTTTATAACACGATAAACCAGTACATTTAAGATAAATACATTTAGTATCGATATATAACACTGGTCAACACTGGTTTTGCCACACGAACTTTGACAGCTAATTTTGTTTTATCAGTCTACCCTCATTATTACATGACAGCTGTCATATGTCTATTAGCCTCATATTTGTTGTGATACGGTAATACTCATAACTAGTACTACGGCAGTAAATTAACAGAAACGCTTACAAGTAAATCCTTATAAAAATATTTGTTGTTGAATTTGAACACTTTTTTGTGATTTATTAACCCTGTGAATATGTCGAGGAAGTGTAATAATGATCCTAACTCTTTTTGTTATGTCTGCGGAGAACTAACATTCAAAAAACGACGAAATTTTACGAATCTTGCGTTGGAGTGTTATCACCAATGTTTTTGGTTTTTCTGTCGCCCATCAAGACAAATCCTGGGCCCCTCATGTCTGTTGCATAACGTGCGTGAAAAATTTAACTGACTGGAAGAAAGGTGCACGACCTATGCCGTTTGCTGTACCCATGATATGGACTGAACAGCGAGATCACGTTTCAGATTGCTATTTTTGTCTCACAGACATAAAAGGTATAAATTACAAGAAAAAAACCACAGTTATTTACCCTGACTTATCTTCGGCTATAAGACCAGTCTCTCATTGTAAAAAATTGCCAGAACTAATACCAGTTGCAACTACGTCTGTTGAGAACAATTCACAACCGTCCACTTCAGGTGAATGTGTTGACGAGGACGATGACTTTAAGTTGAAAGGAATTGTAAACGAGCCACATTTGATAACTCAAGGAGACCTAAATGATTTGGTTCGGGATTTAAATTTGTCAAAAAAGCAGTCAGAACTATTAGGATCACGTCTAAAAGAATGGAATTTGCTACATCATAATACAAAAGTTAGCTATTTTCGAAACCGTGATCAACACTTCAGAACGTATTTTTCTCAGGATGGAGATTTGGTGTTTTGCAATAACATAAATGAGATTATGAAAATGTTGGACATAGATTTTGATCTCTCTCAGTGGCGTTTATTCATTGATTCTTCGAAAGCAAGTCTAAAAGCAGTGTTATTGCATAATGGAAATAAGCTTCCGTCTGTACCTCTGACCCATGCTGCAAATATGAAAGAAACCTAAAATATGAAACTTTTACTTGAAAAAATAAATTACAGTACATATTCCTTCAAAATCTGCGGTGATCTTAAAGTTGTTGCACTATTGCTTGGACTTCAGCTGGGTTATACAAAGTTTTGCTGCTTTTTATGTGAATGGGATAGCCGAGACAGAACTAATCACTATATAAAAAAAACATAGCCTACGCGTGCATCGTTAGTTCCTGAGCAAAAAAACGTAAAGTATTTACCCCTTGTACAGCCAAATAATGTGCTTCTACCACCATTGCATATCAAATTAGGATTAATAAAAAAATTTGTGAAGGCAATGGATCGCAATGGGAGTGGATTTTTGTATCTAAAAGAAAAATTCCCTAAAATAAGTGATGCAAAGATAAAAGAGGGTATTTTTGTTGGCCCTCAAATTAGGGAGTTAATAAAAGATTCAAGATTTGAAGAAAAATTAAGCGATTTAGAAACATCTGCATGGAAGGCTTTTGAAAATGTTGTTTCAAATTTTTTGGGTAACCACAAGAGTGACAGCTACAGAGAGTTGGTTAGCGAGCTATTATTGTCATATCAAGCATTGGGTTGCAACATGTCACTTAAGATCCATTTTTTAGACTCGCACCTGGATTTTTTTCCTGACAATTTAGGGGCTGTCAGCGACGAGCACGGTGAGAGGTTCCATCAGGACATTTCTAATATGGAAAAGCGGTACCAGGGCAAATGGAGCCCAAATATGTTAGCAGATTACTGCTGGACAATTAAAAGGGACCAACCAGAAGCTAAATATTCAAGAAAATCTTAGATTATTAATTCATTTATAAAAAAAAATAACTTTTGATTTACGAGATCTGTGTTTTTTCTTAATATTTTAAATTACTCAATAGAATAAAATCCTTGTCTAGCAAATTTTTTTTAACTGTTTATTTTTTCTTACAATCACCAATTAAAGTAAAAAATATCAAAAAAGTCCGTGTGGCACGACAAAGTTAACATTTTGTCGACCAGTGTAATTATCGACCACAGTGCAGCTGTGCAATGGACATCTTCGATAATGCCCATCAATATCTCACTGTGATAACCCATGACGCGACGACTCTTGTAATTGTTTTGTTTTTCGATTCTGATTTATATAAGATTCACTACAAACCCAAAAACAACTCATCGAATAACAACCACAGATTTTTTCCATACTTGTAACAAATTAAAATAGCAAGTTCCGGTGTGAATAATGTGTCTATGTATTGATTAACATATTCCTGATGGCGTTGAATCACCCTAATTAATACTTATGAATATTTGCGAACGCATCATCCCAGCCCCATCGTTTTCCTCTACTCTTGACAGATGATACATTTGTACTGCTGAAAAGTTAATAATAGTAAACATGAATAATATCTATCAACACAAATGTTTGTTATTTTAACACATAGTAGTTGAACCTAATTACATTTATTTTTCAATTAAATTAAGAGAGTTGAAATGAAGTGTAATACGACCAATCTAACATTTATTTTGCTGATCTACCGCGATTTCAGCTTCACGACTTTTCGTTGAACAATTTGATGTGGTAGCACTGAACAGTTCTGTGGCGACAGCTGAGCAAGTATAATAAAGATTTTCCTGTGTTCTTCCTGTTCCCAAAAAACTTATACTTTATCTGAAGTCACTTGAAACACTGTGAAATACCGGGTGCGTTTTATATATCTATATTTAACACGCTCTGTTGCTGCAAAAATCGCCAAATTTCGCAGCAAATATCCCCCGTATAAGATCAAAGGCAGTTTCACCGGTCCACGTGGAGTAAAGCACGCCTATGCGTGGACATAGCCAATGAGAAAGCTTGTATTTCAGAGCTCCGAACAAGTGCAGGTGGCTACTGAAAATTGAAACAGTTTAGCCAGTGCCGTGTAGCGGTGAATAAACGTGTTTTCTTTAGTCTGTCCGTGTTTTTTCATAGATTTTATTAGTTTGTGTGTTTTTGACTTTTGAATACTTAGTTTACTTGTTGATTTAATTGTTGTGTTGATTGTTCTTGTGTGTCCTAAATATGGCTCTTTGGTGACCTTGGGAAAATGCTCCAAGCCGCGAGGAGATGGTTGATGAACCTGTGCAGGCACAATTCTTTCATAAAGATTTAGAGGAACAGACCCAAAGAGTAATCCTAAATATGTATGATTGTCTGAAAAACGAAAATCCAGATTCCTCGCAAAATCAAATTTTAAACAGAATTTGTATCCTGACAAAAATCAGTCGGTCTACCATTTATCGGGTTATAAAAAGGGGAGATGTAGTCAACCATTCCTTCCACAGAAAGCGCATAGGGCAAAAATTAAAAAGAATAGACGTGGGTTTTCAGGAAGATATTCGTCGTATAATATACGGATTTTATAAAGAAAATTGATACGGGATAAATTAAAAGATTATCCTGAAGATTTTTATAATTACAAATGCTTAGACTCACTGCACTGTATTGTAAAACTGTGTGGTTTTCAATACAAAAAATTAGATAAAAGGATGGTGATTATGGAGTCGTCTCGAATCGTTGAATTGCGCCAAGAATTTTTGCACAAAGTTAAAATCTATAGAGAGCAGAAAAGAAATCTGATTTACCTGGATGAAACGTGGTATGATACCCTTGATGTTGTGCAGTACGGCTGGGTTGACGACAGCAACAAGTGCATTTTAAATGCACCATGCAACCGTGGAAAACGAATCATTATTCTCCATGCTGGCAGTGAAAATGGATTTATACCTAATGCCTTGCTGTTATCTGCCAAAAATATCAAAGAATCATGTGCCGTCTATCATGAGGACATGACCTCCGACTTATTTGAAAAGTGGATAGAGCAGCAGTTAATACCAAACATTTCCCCAAATTCAGTGATTATTATGGACAATGCGCCATACCATTCCCGACAGAAAAACAAAATTCCGAATACAGGCACAAAAAAACAAGACATTATTGATTTTATGAAGGATAAGGGAATGGAAATACCACAAAAATCAACCAAAGCCATATTATTGGATCTTATTAAAAGACAAAAATTTGAAAAAGAGTATGTTGTTGACAATCTGCTTCAGCAAAATGGCCATGAAGTATTATGTCTATCTCCCTATTACTGCATTTTTAACCCGATTGAGTTGGTCTGGGCTGCTTTAAAAAAAAAAAGTAAGAAAACATAATCAGACCCCTCAATTAAGTGAATCGCTATTGGCCACAATAAGAGATGCAGTATCTCATATTGCTGCCACAGACCTATGGAAGCAGTGTTCTAGGCATATTATTGAAAAAAAATGAATATTGTGTTTTGCCTCCTGTAAATCCCGTTGTAATTCCTCTACAAGATGACTCTAGCGACAGCTCCGAAGGCGAGGAAGATATATAAATACCTATAATGTAAGTCTTTATATACCTTTTTATATGCTATGTAAATATTTGCCTATGTCAAACGTTGGAATTCTGTAATTTTTCCATTTCTTAACTTTCAGTCAACATAAATTAAACTCCCAATATAAGTATTTTTTATCCCAAATCAAAAAAATAAGAAGATAGTAAAATCCATTTATTGTGATATAAAAACATTATTATTATCGTTCTAAATAAATGACCGCACGCCTATGATACGTCATGAAATTACAAAGGACGCGCCGACCAAAGGTTTTTATGCTATTTCAAGTGACTTCAGATAAAGTATACATACGTTAATTGCACACTGAAATACTTTTATTGAAAATATGGTTGCAAATACTTTGCATAAATATCGCGCATACACAAAGCAGGTTTGCGCCAAACAGTGGTTCATATATCTACAAATTACAACATTATACGGCGAGTTAAAATTGACACGATGATGCATTTTTTAAAATATACACTTCAGATTTGATTCACGATTCGGGCAGAGTTTAAAGGCTCCTCTCAGATTGGCCAATTTTCGATTCAGTTTTTCGAAAACAGTTCTAATTGGTCTTTGTCGATCCAGATAATAGGTTTTGATCCCCGGATCATAGAAAAAATATTTTTTTGTAGATAAACCAGATGTAAACGTATTTTGAGGAGTTAATGACTATCGTCCGTTTTGATAGTTGTAGTATGTAAACTTTCTGTTCTAAGAGCGAATCCAGAAATATTTAGAGAAGATAATATGAAAATGTCTACAGAGGTTAACATGTGACAAACATTTTGACAAAATAAAGTGACAAAGACAAGGCATCTCAACTAGCACAATCTTGTGCACGCTGTGTACTTAGCAGCCTCATATATTCTATGTGAGTTCTCTTAAGCAATACAATGGAGAAGTGCTAAATGTGCTGAAAAGCTGTAGTGTGACGAATTTCCTTATATAAGAACTATAAACATTGATTGTCTCGTTCTTTGATACTGAAAACTGCTACATGTAAAAAGATTCGCATATGTTCAGGCGAGTAACCTATAAGTAAGCACTTCACCATTATTAGAATATGTCTATTATGATTAAACCTACGAACTCAGGGGCTAATAAGACGTACATTCTTGTACACGAAGATGAGGATATTTCTTTTTTTGGGAGTCACGAATTGCTAAGCGAAGTTATAAGGCTCCTGAAACGTAATTGGGCAAAACAAAAGTACTTCAATACGGGTACATTCTGAACCCCAGTAGCACTATACATATTATGTTAGCGCAACTAGCAAGGTTAAGCCAAATAGCTTTCTACGCGATCTTAGCATCCCAACTAAAGAAAAATCCGCACAAGCCACAAGTACACCAAAATAAAAAGGCGTGAACTCACCCTGGTAGATCGCCAATATTGGTCTTCTCCATGCTGTCCGATTTGCCGTCGTAGCTAATCGTCGAACGGCGTCCCACGGTCGTTCCTAAAGACAACGTCGTGTTCTTAGATACAGTTCGTGCTTTAGATGCGACTTGTATACCTACAGATACGACAGAAAACAAACATGGTGTGTGGAAAGTGTGTACGGCTAAGAACAAATGCGTGAGTGAGTACAGAAGGAGAAAAACGAAAAGTGCATGCAGGATTATAAGAGACGATGAGCATTCTGATGTTGATTCTCAAAAAATAGGTGAAATATCTAGTTCAATATTAATTATGCTGCAGAATCTATATCAAATAGCAGTTATTTGAGTTTTGCAGATGATCTTAAATATCCATGATGCGGAAATCTTACAAAGAGATCTCATAAATCCTACTCCGTGGTGTAGTACTAAGAAGATCAACATCAATTTGAATAAATGCTATCAGATAAGTTTCAGCCGTAGTTCCGATTCTTTCATGGAAAAATATAAAATTGAAAACCACGACCTCATAAGCACTGACATGGTTAGTTGGTTAGGTATATATTTTGAAATAAACACACAGAGAAATTGCGTCTAAATTATATAAAATTTTGGGATACATTTCTCTGTGTCTATTTTATAAAGGTCTTTGGTACGGAGTATCTTGGAGTACAACACAGTGGTATGGTCGCCAAATTTAATTGACGCAGTGCAAGGTAAATTTGGTAAAAATGGGTTGAAGTCAAAATGCTTCAGAACTAATGATTACGTTGAACGTAGATTCCCTTGAAACACAGCAGGAAAATTTTTGATTTTATTTCTATTATTTTCTGTTTAAAATAGTTAATAGTGTCACAGTTTGTCCAGAGTTGCCTGATAAATATCATGTTAATGAAAGATGAACTCGCAATACGGAACTGTTTACGATACCACATCATTCTACTTATAGTATGAGCACAGCCGACGTCATCTACGAGCCGTGATGAAAGAAAGGCAACACCGCGCTCGGACGGCATGGTAGTGCTACCTGTGAACGTCGGCCGCCAGCGGCTGTGTGCTCCGTCTCCGTGTAATGTTTAAGAACTAAATTTAATTTTGGAAAAGAGGACAGTTCGATTCGATACAAATCGTCTGAATATGAAATAGCTCTAAAAAATTTAAAAATACGAAATAATCGTGATATATATGAGTCGCTAATGCAGTTAACCTAATTAAAAGTATTTAGTTTACGTTTTTTGGTGTCAGCACACTGTGTTCCAACAGGCCCAGCTTGGAAATGTGGAGTTACCTGTTTGTTTTTAATACATTTACTTTCAGTTTTACTGTTATTTTTCAATTTTACATAATCATTCAAAATTATGTTTGAAAAAATAGACAAAAGTTTAGATAAAATATCTGCATAATTGCGGCCACAGATGCAAGTTAAAGAAAATTCACTGTATATAAAGTCAGACTGAATGCTGAGCAAGGTTAACTGACACAAAATAAATTTTTGATTATTGCTTTTCAAGAAGAAAATTTCCAATCTATTTACATTAATAATAGATTCAAAAATGGCATACATATGGTAGAATATGATTGGTACATAAATGGTTGGAATTGACAGTCCTCCTCTTTGCAAATGATCAAAATAAACATTTGTTGTTAATGAACCTTTTTCTTTAACTATTAGCGATTTGCATATCTCGCAGTTTAGGTTTTTAGAGATAGCGTGTGAAGCATATCCAGATATTTAAGTCTTAGTACTATCCTCTATGTCACAATTGGCTAAGTAATTTGTCTCAAATACTTCATTGAATATATCCAAAACTTCAGGATTTTGTTTGGTATCCAAGAAATCAAAATTTTCTTGAGTTTCTAAGCAGTTTTGGAACCTTGTTTTAATTTCTGCTAAAGAAAATGACGATTTCTTTTCATTGAAAATATGCTTCAGCCGTATTTTCTTTTCAGCATTTAAAATTTCATCATATGACACATTGTAATTGCAGCCACATAAAAGTATATAATTGCCAAATCGTTTATCTAAATTATCAGTGGTGAATTTTCCGGGCAATACATACTCAATGTCAAATTGATTAAATGAATATTCAATTATATTAAGTAGAGTCAGCGTGCTTTGATATAGAGCTGTATACGTTTCTGGTGTCAGGTGTCCATTATTATTCTCTAGATTATGCCATTTTTCTAACCATATCAGGAATTTTTTTAACAATTGTACTCTATAATCATATTTATTGGTAATAGGCTTACAAAATTCGTTTCGCTTCAATTCTCCTTTTATTACACTTGTATTACTGACAATATCCCACCAATTCCTGATTATTTCCAAAAAGTGTGCAGCATCATTAAACTTTAATTCTTTCATAGCAGCTATTGTTGACTGATGGAATAAATTATCTACAAAATTTACATTTTGCCTTTCAAATGAATTTGGATGCAATGTTTTATAATTCAATTTATATGCTTTCTTAACAATCTATACCTATTTAGCAGGTTTTCTAATTGGGCCAATCTGGTAATTTTGAGATCATATGGCAAAACCCACTTCAAGTCACTAAAAGAAAGCTGACATCCTTTATGAACTACCTGAACTTCCATCTGACCATCAACTATAATATGTGTATTCAAAGTTAATCATTTTCAAAATCCAATTTATAAAAATATAGCTTTCCATCAGATAATTTATTATTCCATTTCTGTGAGGCTTTAATTTTTGAAAATGAAGAATGTAATTCTTGAAAGTCTTTGATCTTATCCATATCATCGAAATTCTGGATAGCTTTTTCATGTTTCTCAATTAATTTTTGTTTTCTTTGCATTGGGTCAGTTCTTTTGGGTGCTTCAGTTTTTGAAAGATATGATGGCAAGTTTGGGAAAATGGAGGGAACAGCATTTTCTTTCAATTTTGGATATTTCAAAGGTATATTATTTTGGACTGTTCCATCCGCCAAAACTATATTTTCTGTCCTGATGATATCCGATTCTCTAAAATGACGACTGCACACAGCTGAATATTTTGAAGGTGTCCAATTTTTTCTGGGAATTGCCATAAGCCATTTGTTTTTCAGACTTTCGGTACTTGGGAAGCGAAAAGTTGAAACATAGCTTTCTGTTTTCAAAGCAGAATTATAGTTTACATTGCATAAAAGAACACAGCAACAACGAGGCATATTGTCTGCGTCAAATACTTGATAAATGGAAAAAGAAAAATACAACCTGAATTTGCACGTTTTCAATAGTGAAATCCTTAGCGTCCTGAGGCGCGAACAGCCACAGTCATACTTCTCAGTTTATTTTTAAAGCACAGAAGCACTACAACTGGAGTCTATTTCTCATATATTATAGTCACCGATCACTTTGAACACATACACTCACTTTGAAGCTTAGAAAACAAGCTTATCTCTTAATTACAGCCTCTGCGATTCCCAAATCACAAATTGAAAAGGTTATGTTTTCTCAGCGTAACACTACCACCTACGTTGCCAGATTTCTTTGTTCACGGCTCGTAGTTGACGTCGGCTGTGGTATGAGTGAACTAGTTACTATGATTCTTAGATCTGGCAACGCCGCTACCAGCTACAATATCGATATTTTCAGTAGCAATATTAAGCATATCAAAAATGTTTCTAATTATGTAACATTACTTTGTTGGGTTCTAAATATAAGTAGATTGGTATCACATTAATCTTTCAATTCCTCTTTAGTTTAATAATTTATATAAAGCTAACGTAATGTGTCACATATACGTAATGTTTTTTGTATGTAATGAGAAAACGCAAATAAATAAATATTTTCATATTTCCATATACACTAGAACTGGCAAAACTAGCCCACCAAATAGAATTCCATGTTTTTCTGGACAAATGAATCCACATATGTTGAAATTAGCCTTTACTGACGGTTCCACGGTGGCCTCTTTCAAAGAACAGATCAAAATAATATATTTCGTTCGTCCAACCAAAAAAAGAAAACCATCGACATATGATTCGCGCATCTTAGCAACGCATCACCATGGTATATGCTTCGTATCTGGCACAACGAACGAAAGCATAGCAACTATCGACTATCCAAGGTACGAGATATATCGAATTGAGTTTTCGAACGCGAACTGAGAGCGTTCCAACCAATAGCTATTATACACTCTCGCAGTGGTGGATTCTGCTAATAGATGGCGCTTTGCGCTGTCTTATTTCAATCTATTTTATATTTATAGGTATTCAAGATGACAGTAAGGCCATCATACAAAGTCAGGACCTCCTGGGGTATGCATTCCCGCTCGCAAAAAAAAACATCCAGGTCCCCAAAGCCAGAAAAATGTGGGGTTCTATCAGTTTATTTTCTACAATTGAATCAACATCAGAACAACTCAAAACACAAAATAGCAGGCATGCAAAATAGAAATAAGTATAATAATAGTAAGGGTAATTTCAGAAAATATGTTATTCCGATCTTCCATTGTCTATATAATCCTGAGTTACATAATATTTCGGTTGATTCGTTACTTTGAATCTTATTCAAAATAGTTAACATGTACAACAAGCCCCAAAGTTGCTCGGAAGCATTGATTAATGTATTCTCCACGAAGATGGTCAACCCTATGATGTAATTGGATGGTTACATACTATTTCCGTTCCCCAGAAGTCATAAAAACAGGCCATATTTCCCTTATGAAGGGAATTGTTTATAGTATATGTCATCAACCTTCCAAGGGAAGATCACCCCTCAACCTCCCCCGTAATTACCCCAAAGATTTCATATTCTCAGAAATTCTCCATGACGGAAAAGGAGAATGTCAGAATGCCATAATATGCGATGTGGCGACGCTGCCACCTGAAGACGGTGTATATTTTGTCATAAGTGATTGGCGCCACAGTACATAACGGTGTTTTTTATATAAATTGCAAAACAGTTTTCCTGTTATCATGATTCAAATATGTTACTTCTTAATCAGTAAAAAAATTAATTCAAAATACATTGACTATCAAAATTGTCCACCAGTACGATTCAATGCTAATTGTTTTCAAATCGGACCACCTCAGAATGTGTGCATGCACATTATTGGCTGTTGGTTACTTCTTGTATCGACAACAAAAACAACGATTTTTCATTTTATGTTCAAGTTTATTAAATCATTGATATAGACGAAAAACAGTACTCGTCACAATTGTAAATACTGCTATTTGCACCAGGGTTTCTCATTTTAAGCTTGGCAACATTGCGGCAGTATCTGTAGACAGTAGGCAGAAGTACTGGGTAAAAAGTATTAGGCACATTTAATAACGGGTATTACTGGTGTTAAAACCATGATTCAAGACAATGGAAATCTGATATATACTTTCTGAAACGTTAATCTACGAATCTGTAACAACGTGTAACTCACTGTTATCAGTAGCCGTCTTAGGTTGAGCACTGGCAGGCCGTGAGTTGAGCCTAGCGCTGTTCTCTTTGATCGTAGCGCTGTCGACGGTGTTTTGCCTTTTGAAGCCCGATTGGTGGTTGTTGCTAGGCGTCGTCGGCACCTGCGGCTGAGGGCCCGTCCGGAGAGTCTCACCTTGACAGACACAAAAAAAAATATGGTCAAAATACGTTTTATGTTGAATAGAACTGGCTTTTTCCACTACTTCACGTTTCGAAAGGGTACAGAAAGGAACTGTGGGTAGGAGAGGCCAAAAAGTTGCGTTTGTGGTAGAAATTGTTCAACTTGATTTTTTTTTTCATAATCATGATTGTTGGATGCCCATGAATCAAGAGGTTGTCACGTGGAAACCTCTTCAAATTTGTGTTTCACCCAAATTATGCAAAATAATTTTAGGTTTTATTGACCATTCTGAAAAAAAAGGTTCACAGTAATTTTTGTCTAAAGTTTACCGTTTTCGATTTATGGGGTATTTAATAATAATAATAATATTTATTCGCCAAAATACAAAAAATGGACAAATAAATATGAAAAAACCACAGAAGGCATCGCCTGTATGTGGTTTATATCTTAATAACTAACAATCAATCATATATGTGTATAACAATTATTGTTAAATCTAAAAGGTATTAATGTAATTGGAATTTTGTAGTTTTAGTTTTATATATAATTATGTATAGTCATTCGCTGCACATTACTAACCCAGTCTTTCAATTTTCTTCTAAATTTTTTTCCAAAATTAAGTATCTTTATTTCGTTTGGTACTACATTATATAATTTAGCTGCTAAGAAATTAAATGATTTTTTGAATAATGTTTTGTGTGGTCTTTGGATATTAGATGAGCCTATTCGAAATCGTGTGTTATGCTCGTGTTTGTAGGATTTTTTCTTTTTATTACAATACTTATGGTATAAGGTGGTGGCATGTAAGAAATAAAGTTGTCTTGTATCAAGTATCCCTGTTTCTTGATATAAGTTGTTCGTTGGATATAATCTTGGCTTATGGAAAATGGCTTTCAAAACAGTTTTTTGTGCTATATTCAGGTCAGAAATATATGTCTTGCAGGCGGCACCCCAGGCTGTGATGCCGTATATTATATGGGTTTCAACTAAAGCATGGTATAGGATTCGCAGATAACTTTCTGTCAGAATGTTAGCAAGCATTTTGAGTTTATAACATATTTAATATGGTTATCCCACCTTAGATGTGAGTCTATAAATATTCCAAGATATTTCAAAGTGTTAACTCTATCGATTTTGGTCTTTTGGCCATGATAATTAACGGACATTTGTTCGAATGTAGGTAAAAATTTTGCATAGGATGTAAATGCAATAAATTTTGTTTTTTTTGAAGTTAACTGTTAAAATTTTAGTATCAAACCAGTCAATGATCCTTATAAAATCCTTTTCAGCTATTTGCTTCAGTGTGCTCCAGTCATCAGCTTTATATAATACGAGGGTGTCATCTGCAAAACATATAATCTTTCCAGAACTGTTAATTTTGAATAAGTCATTTAAGTAGAGACTAAATAATAGTGGGCCTAGTACTGTTCCTTGAGGCACACCACACTTGATGTACATTTTTTTACTGTAAGTGTTAGTGATTTTGACAGTCTGTGCCCGACTTGCAAGGTAATTTTTTAAAAGGATTTGTGACACTCCCCTAAATCCCAATCTTTCCATAACTTTCAGAAGCTCGACATGGTTAACCGTATCAAAGGCATTTTTTAGATCAACAAAGATACCAATAGTAGGTATCTTTTTGTTGACATTAGAGTTAATTTCATCCATTGCAGCCAAAATTGCATCTGTAGTAGATTTTCCTTTTCATATTCCATATTGGTCAGAACATATAATTTTGTTTTTGTCCAAAAATTGTAATATCCTTTTTTGTAGTAATTTTTCTAAAATTTTGGCTATATTCGATAGTACTGATATGGGTCTATTTAAAGTACGAAAAACAGAATCATCATTTTCAATACTTAAAATCGCTTAAAAATCAGCAATTTTAGAGTTTTTCAGACACTAAATAGCATAAATGAAACTCTAAAACTGTCAACCCTAGAAAAAAGAATACCAAGGACATTTTTATTCAGAAGATTGAAAACGTGAATAAAGCTTGTCTCCTGCATGAAAAAACATTTTATTAATACAGGGTGTCCTGAAAGTTGAGATTTTCCTTTTCAGAAACAACTACGTTTGAAATAACAAAGCTAGTTTGCGATAAAGCAGCACCGAAAAAAGATGAAATTGAATAAAAATACAGTCTATTTTGGTACTGTCCTGTCAGATTTTTTGTTTGTAATTACCGCTTGGAGTTGTCACAGTTCTATTCAAAAGGACGATTTCGTTTACTTCTTCCTCAATTTGCAATATTTGGGGCTGTCTAGATCTTCCACCGTGTCCACTTTTTCACGATATAAACAAATGCTCTGAATGAAACATAGTATCACAAAACAACATATCCTTTGACGTAGGAGGGAATGGCTTATTTAGTTTTATCGAACTTAATATCTTGGTTATATTAAGGCTTTGGTAAGCCTTTACTAGGAAAACTTGCTTATTACTGGCTGCAAATGAAAACTTTGAGGACATCCTGAATACTCTTCGGGATCTTATCAGTGAAGGTACGAATTTTAATTTAGACGATTAGCAATCTCAAAGGTAATAGTTTTTAATCGAGTTTTGAAGCATTGGAATTAATAATTTTTATGGTTTTACAGACTTTGAATCGCTTATCACTTGATCAACTTTAGATTACAACCTTTTTTATTTATAATGATACAAATAACTTTAAAGCGAATATACCAATTTGTGTAATTTGTTTAAAAAGTCATTTAAAAAAATTACAGCAGTTTACTACCCGGCATCCTCTTGATCCATGTTAAGGGAATTCCAATAATTGCGATCATTGAGCCAGAAAATGTCTCCCACGGATGTGAGTTTTTCGTTTTATAGTGGGAAAAAGCTATCCTATTGTTTCGTTAGGTCAAGTTCAATTCTAGCGTTTTGAAATACCAAAAGAATACCACATCACGGCACAACACTGTCACACACACTGTCCCGCCTTTTGAGTACTCACCGATGGTACCACCTGCAAGAGATAAAGAAAAAACAGGCGGTCAGTGATACGAAAGCACATCAAACAACAAAAAATACTCAAATAACTACAAACTCACTCATTTTTTAAGAACTACACTCTTATTTACATAAATAGTAGCGCTGAATATATTTAGCCTGTTAATTGAAAGTTACTTTATGATTTGTTGGTTCGGTATTCGTCCCAAGACACTAAAGGATTTTTTTATGGTTGTATTCAAATTCAACGTCCCAAATGATCCGAGTGTATCGAATTTTGTTCGTTACAAAGTATGACAAAAAAAGGAGAATCTGAATAGGGAGTTTATTCAAAAATGTTTGCGTATCTGCAACATAAACCAAAAGACTTGGTTAAATGGGGTCACTAACCTGATGTCAGTTTTTTGCTCAGATCTGTGTGAGGTTCCATAAGTCGCAGTTTTCATAATTCAAGTACGAAACCAGCATTTGTTAACGGCCATATTTGGCATTAGCAACATAGCATACCAAGTTTTATTCACCTGTATAGCAATGTTGCCCAAAGCTGTACGGTAAAAAAAACGCACAATAATCCTTGATAAACTGATTTTGAAGAAAAACACGATATTGCAGAGCGTACTTCACAAGTTCTGTTCCTTCATTGATAAAAAGGCTTTTAGTGAAAATTATCTACAAAATCGTACGAAGCGAATGAATTCCAATAAATAACGTAAAAAACCGGCAAATCAACGAACGCATCAAAGGGACTTCAAAATTTGAACACTAACCTCCGCTGGACGCCCTCCTGTTAGGTTTGGCATGCGTGGCAGATATGGATCTGTGTACGCCGCGATGTGAAGGACTCTGGGCGGCAGGTTGTGCCCCACCGACCGCAGCGGCCGCCGCAGCGCCAGGTTGGCCGGCCATGTTTCGCAAAGACAGGCTGCTGCCGCTACGGCTGCCGTCGGATTCGGGCTGAAAAGAATAAAAAAATTGTCAAATCGCCATCCTTGAGAGGCTTCCTTGGCAACAATGGATCTCTGCTTGGAAACATTGAAACAATGACGCTGCCTTAAGGAACGAAGGTTTAAATTTCACAGTAGGCTGTAACAATTGTCATCCCAAGCTGTCATCGATATCAGAAAGATTTTTCTTTGCTGGCCGTATTTATTTAGCATTTTGATAATAAAATTTGGATGATTTGGTTTATTTGTGGTAAATATACCAATAAACAATGCAAAATAATAATGTGTTTGATTCCTCGAATTACACCGCGATCACAGTGAAGTAAAAGCCTGAATATAGGCAACCAGTTGCACCTGCTGCTATCTTTTATTTTCCATGATCCCATTAAATATTTCTAGTATCTCGTTCAAATGCATCGCTGAACTTGTCCTTTCTCATAGTCACACATTATAATTTGGAATAGTATACAGTTTTGTTATGAAATATGTTTTTGTGAAATACTGTAGTAGTTGAAACTGACAAAAGTTATCTACAATCTGCAACTAGCAGAACAGTTCGGTGCAACTGGTTGTCTATATTCAGTTGTTCAGTTCTCTGTGATTGCGCCTTAATTCGAGGCATCAAACACATTATTATTTCACATTGTTCATTGATATTTACCACAAATACAATAAACCGTCCCCATTTTATCATCAAAACGCTAAATAGTTACAACAGCGAAGAAAAATATTTCTCACATCGGAGTTATCTTGTTACAGCTTATTGTGAAATGAAAACTTAATTCCTCCCTTGAAAGTTCCTCAAGGAAGCGTCATTGGACACTGTTTCCAATCAGATGCTTGATATAAATTGTTTCCAAGGAAGCCTCAAGCTTCACGGAAGATTTATAAATCTGAGTCTTACAGTTTCTGAGATTCCAACATGTCTTCTAACTGTCAAAACTTAAAGTGGTGATTTTTGGGTCCATTTTAAAAAGAAAACTTCTTATGAACGTATGATCTAAACGTCTTAACAGTGTGGTAGTTTTCCAAAATAAATCAGTTGGTACGAGACTCACTTCTCCTAAATAAAATAAAAAAAAAACGAAATCTGTATTCATTTATGAGCAGATTTGATCTTTTAATTTTTTATAGTTCGACTCACTGTTTTCATCTAAAAAAAATAAAATCTATTTTTCGGAATGGTGATATCTTATTAGCGATATTGTTACGATGAGAGGTTTTTATTACTTCCTACGCAACAGGAAGAAGTATTGTAATCGCGAAGATTTTCGAAATTGAGATATCAATGTTTTGGATGATATATGACAAGTAGATCACGAACAACCATGTCAATCATTCCCGCCAGTCTATCAGTCTGTCCGCTAATCCTTGACCCACCTATAATTTGAAAAGTTCCGCTAGGATTTTAAAGACATTTTCACACAAGGTTACTACTATGCCAATAACAAAAAAGCTTTGTAGTTTTGAAAATCGGTTCAGAAAAGTAAGATCACTTTCAAAAAAGGGGTCGAAAATTAGGGGTTGGATGGAGTTAGTGTATTTATACGCTCCCAACCCCGGTAATTCTACGCACCTATTAACCATATTTTACACATATCATGTATGTTGTTCAATCATACATTTGCTTTTAAAACTTATTATTTGAATGTTCTACCTATGGTGCAATGGTGCCGCGTTCGGCGCTGCCGCGACTTCGGTGTCGTGCAATGAGATATTCTAATTCTAAAGTAGTGACAATTTTTATACAATTTACATTACTCTTGACGTGGAGAACACGAGAGTAGTAGTTTGTGTCGAAACAAAAGTGAGCAGGATCACCGACCCTC